GAAGGTATTGAATTTGTTATTTCACATATACTATTTACAAAAAAATTATTTAATTTGTTGGCTGCTTCTTCTTCCGTTTTAGCGAAAGATACAGATTCATCAACAGAAAACCCAACAGAGTCAAATTTAATTTCCATATTTTTACTTTTAATTCATTTTTTTAGAGTTTTCCACATTTCCTTAGAATCATTTTTATGTTCATCTATTTTATGTTCATAAAACTCTTTTTTCTTGCACTTCAATGAATTAACAACTATATTTCTTTGATTTTTGTATTCATTCCACAATACATTTTTATCTGGACCTAAGGCTCTTTGAAACTTTGTGTATACTTTATCCCTCTCTCTAGCTTGTACTTTTACCTCCTTATCATACCATGGAACATGATTTTTCTTTATCTGTATCTCTGTAATAGGTGCAACACTGTTTAAAACTCTACTACAATTACTTTCCGGTTGACCAAAAATTTCATTTACATTACTTGAGTCAAATAACCAGTCACATGATATTAATTCTAAATTTATCTCATATTTATCTACATTTATTTTCTAGAGAAAAAATTTAATTCATTCATATAATCCACATTTTTCTCAAAATTAATACTTATAATCGAATGATCTGTTATTTTAGGAAAATGATGAACACTTACAGAAATATTTTGATTCGATAAAACATAATCGATTAATGTCGAACTGTCCATACTTATTCTGGTATAATCATTTACATGTTGTTCAATGCCATAAGACTAAATTAGACTTTTTATCTTTTTGCTATAAAAACTATCTACAAAATAATTAATCTTAACATCACCCACAATTAAAGCTTTAATGTTTCCCGATAAGAAATCTTCGCACCATTCTTCAATTTTATCTATAAAGACCGCATCACTGAAACTGGGCGAATGGTAAAAACCACCAATCAACCATTTAGTTTTATTAAAATGAACGTTAACAATTTTACACCAATAATTTAGCACAAGAATATCTTCCTTTTTCACACTAAAAGTGACGTTGTTCCGCAGATAAATAAGTACTCCTCCCGTGTATCGATTTGAAGAATTACATCTTACACATACATATCCATCTACTGCAATTTCAACATCTTGGATATCATCTGTACATCTTGCTTCACTTAATATAACTATAGATGGTTGATAGCAAAAAATGTCTACTAAAACTTCATCGCGGTGTGCCAAAAAACTCTGTACATTCATATAAATTATATCACTTCTAAAAGATATATTAGGACCATTTACTAGTTTTTTTGTTTGTTTTGGGTAGATGCATTGCTATCAACAGTTGTTGGAATATTATTTATGTATTTTATAGTTTTGTTTTCACCGTTATCTAAATATTCCTGCAGCTTCCTTTTGACATTAAAGAAGTACTCTCTTTGCGCTTTTGTTTGATCAGGAAAAATTTTAATAGTTGTAATTTTTATCTCCTTTTTCATTTTTAACACCTTAAGAGCTTCTTGTGGTCTGGGAAAACAAACTTTTAGTGGTATATTCTTGTTTTGGTCTTTGCCCAGTCTGAACACCCTTATATTTGTAATATCACCATCAATTTCTTTTAGCAGTTCTTTTACTGAGTCTTTATCTTCTCTTATTTTGTTTGCAACTATTTTTTGTTTCGATTCATTTACATTTAATATAATAATTTTTGATGCCCTCTTCTGTCTTTCCGCCACTTCCATCATTAGTTCTTCGCTGTTAATTTTAGCTGCATTTTAAGTTGCATCTTTTTCGTTATTTTGATCAGATGCCTTATTTTTCATAAGTTTTTCAATGTTAATTTTTACTTGCTTTAACTCTTTAGTTAGTTCTGGAACTTTCCAAAAACCTGTTCCACATTCACTGCACAAAAAAAATTAATTTTCCTTTATTTATTCTTTAATTGTAAACATTTGATTTCTGATGCTGTTATGTCAGCACATTGAGCACATAAGTACTCTTTGCATGAATCACATGGAAAAACATCCTTACACTTTGAGCATATCTTTGCATCCATCTCAAGTTAAATAAGTAGTCAAAGATTTTTAAATTTTAATCACGACACCCAATGCATAAAATAAAAGCATTGCATTAAAAAAAAACGTTATTTAAAGTGTTCTTCTAGAGTTCTCGCCTTGAAGAAATTATAGAGTAAAGTCAAAACAGTAAGTCAATCGGAGCTTTCATTCTAGAGATATCGTGTCAGCGCACACACGCACAGGTGACCAGGAAATACTTTTTTTTGTCTTTTGGACAGGATGAGTGATTGGAAACATGGAGAAAAGAGTCAAAAAGATTGGCTCTAACGAGGGGGACATGTGCTTCCATCCCCAGGGATTTTTTACAATCTATAGAGCCTTTTATTAAAAAAATTTACTAAAAAGCCAATGGCTAATCACTTTATTTTAAGTTTTATGAAAGGAAATGATGAAAAGTTAGGTTAAATCAGTTAAATCATTAAAGATGACTCGGAATCATTTAAGTACAATCCAATTGTATTTGAATCAGACACAACTGACCACTTTTCTACCATACTTCAAATTATTTCTGCTAAAAAAACAAAGAAAAATTATAGAAAAAACACGATATAAACTATATATTGACAATTATAAACTAAAAATTAATATTTCTAACGTAAACTGGATTAATATATATGCAGCAATTAATATTGAAAACGCAACAAATATATTTTTAAGAACAATTCAAGATGTTTTAAACTGTTCGACTAATAATATAAAACAAAAAAATTCAGATGTTAAACGAAATCCATGGATAACGAATGCGTTATTAACATCGTGGCCGATGTTAATAACGCATTCGTTTGGCAACAAAAGCGACAATTATATCTACCTATTATTTAATCAAAATCCAAATGAGGAAAACAAAAAAAATTATAATATATTTAAAAATATTTTCAGTAAACAATGAGTTATTATCGAATGAAAATAACTCAGCCGCTCTTTGGAAATCTGTCAATGAACTTACAAATAAAAACAAATATTTAAATAAAATAAAAGAAATAAGAACTCCAAACGAAAACATTGCGAATAAGGAAAAGGAAATAGCAGACACTTTTATTGATTTCTTCTCTAGCAAAATAAAAATTATAAATTCAAAACAAAAAGTATAACAAATTCATTTTTTTTGGAAGACATACAGGAAACTGAAGTTATAAAAATTATAAATACACTAAAAGAGAAGAAAACCCCCGCTATTGATGGTATCAGAGCTGAACACATTAAACTTATTGCTAAAAATATGGCTGCGCCCTTAACTTTTCTCATACATAAAATATTGTTATGTGAGCCATTTCATTATTCAGTCATGCTCTAACCCTTCAAGTCCCTCTCTGTCTTATTTGGCCTTTGAGGCTCAACTTGTCCGATTATTATACATAATTAAACCCCTTAAGACCAAACCTATGGGACTACTATGGCGGAGGTGCTTTCGATGACTATTCGAGAAAGGACGGGATAATGTTTCTAGTGTATTGGTGAGAATATGTGAACTTTCTAGAACATTCGCCATTTTTTTAAATTTGTATATAAATATTGGTGCAGGACCAAGCGACAATCAGTTATTATATGGACAGTGAATATAAATAGTGAACAGTTTAGAGACATTCGAAATATATATAAATTAGAATAATAGTGTTATAAATAATTAAGTGTTTTAATAAATTATTAATAAATTAACTATTGTTTTAAAGTAAACAAACATCACATAGGTGTCAGAAGCGGGATAGTGTAAATAAATAGTGGACAATCATGGCTAAAAAACTATGTGATTTAAAAGTGGCTGAATTGCGTCGAGAATTAGAAATATCGGTTTTCATGGAAGACATTTTACTTTCCAAAGAAGAAATTATAGAAGACGCATCATCGGAAAATAGATAAGTTTCCGGATCCAAACCTTCACTTTCCAGTGCTTCCTTAAGACGTTCTGCCAGCTCAGCCAGCCCTGTCGTCTCCAGATCACGATCTTCTAATTCTCGACGCAATTCAGCCACTTTTAAATTACATAGTTTTTTTAGCCATGATTGTCCACTATTTATTTACACTATTCCACTTCTCGACACCAATGTGATGTTTGTTTACTTTAAAACAACAGTTTATTTATTAATAATTAAGTCAAACGGCCAAACACATACTGTGCGAATGCGAAGCTCTAGATCGCAAAAGACAGGCTCTTTTTGGATAATCCCAGGTTGATCCAACAACGTATAGAACCCACTCACCCAAGGATCTGTACACACTTGTACAAGGTACAAAGATGACAGAGTGGGTGCTATGAACTAACATGGGGTAAAACACAATAAGCCAATAGGCTTCAGTGTTATTCGGAGACATAGTCAGACGAGCCCAGGAGAAAAAAAAATAGTTAACATTTCTTTATTTATGCAATTGCTTTATTATTTTTGGTACATATTCTTTATTTTATTTCAATTTAATTGATACTCTTGTTGGAAATTCACCGTAGTTTGTGTTTGATATTATGCACTTTATAAATATTATAGTTATAAGTAATTTATATATAGTATTACATTTTTTATATTTGTCATTTTAATAAAATTTGTTTATACCCATACATAGGCTTGATCTTCTGTGGGTTTCACATATTTATTAATTATTATATGTATCAATAATTATTGTACGTTGATGTAAACTTTCAGATCAATAAATATTGTTATTAATAATATTATTATTAAAATATTGCATTTTATTATAATATAAATGAAAATAGCAAATGAAACTTAATCTTCCATAATTAATTTTAGTTAAAATATTATAAAAAGTATACTTCAATAAAATTATGAAATTCGCACCTCAGGATCCTTCACCAGAACCCGAAATATAACGAAATTATTCATTATATCTATAGGTGATAAATGCCAATACAAACATTGATTTTTGATTTAAAACAAAACAAAATATCCCTCGCGTATAACTTTATCAATTTATTAAAAGTAGATACAATACCCCATCGAAATTTCAGAATGTCGACGTCTATGGTTTAATGCATCTCTGATCATTTGTGAGAAATGAAACCTAGATAGAACCATAGCCATAGAATGAGCACACGAACGCAGTTCAACAAAACGTTCCCGGTGAAATGTCAAAAAAATAAATTCTAAAAATAAAAATGGCATCTGCTAATAGAGGTGAGGCTGTTCAAAAGCTAACTCAACAAGACTGGGTAAATAGGGAATATATAGAAATAATTACAATAAGCATAAAGAAGATAACAGATTTTTTGAATTCATTCGGTGAGTACCTATAAATCTTAACAATTGATGTGTTTTCTAAAATGTCAAAATTGTAGATCTTTCCTGTCGCTCAAAACTGGCTGGTCTCAACGAAAAACTTACTATATTAGAAAGAAAAATTGATTACTTGGAAGCTTGCGTAAGTATAAAATTGAGAATATTTTTGAGAAGAAACTATAACCCCAATTCTTACAGGTAACAAAAGGTGAAACACTTACATGAGACCAACTGGTTTAAATCAATATTAATGTATCCAATATCATATTTTTTCAAGACGCTTAAAGCTAAACCTGTCATAGAGCAATCAAAAAGAAGTCTGTATTACTGGATAAATTTACAATTTAACGTAGTCGATCGTGATCGTAGAAAACTAATTGGACCTGATCTTTCATGTGCTGAGTGGATATTAAGAAATGGGGGTTCTGTTAAATGGAAGAAAGGCACAGTTACAGATTATAATGAATTACCTCAAGACACTAAAGATTTCCATTTGAATGAAATAGATGCATCGGACACAAATATTATGAAGGCAGGTTTTGAACACTTCCAGGGATGTAAATATATCGAAAAGTTAAAATTGCACAAATGTATTTACATAAATGATGAGTGTTTACAAGGGTTGCATGTTTTGAAGGATTCTTTAAAACATTTAACCATTAGCAGTTGTAAAGAAGTAACTGATGCTGGTATTTTACAGTTAATTGTATTAAAAAAATTGCAGACTTTAGTTTTAGCTGATTTGCCAGGTGTTAAAAATATGTCGGTTACAATACAGGATTTACAAAAGTGTCTTGGTCAATGCAAAATTCAATAGTAATAAGTAAATGCAAAAGATGATGGCTCCTCAGTAATTTTTACTAAAATATATTTCAGATCTTACTTAATCCTTTCAGAATGGTTTACATTAGTTGCTACAATTTAACAAAATTATTTGGATCTCCTTGCCAACTAAATTATATTGCATATTTAGTAAATAAAAGAAGATTGGGCATATTTTATTATTGTTTAATCTTCATCCAGGTTGCTTGTTGTAATTATTATTTTCCAACCTTTATTATTTATGCATGTGTCAACCTCATAATGAATCAATCTTTTAATAGAAGCAATTTAATATAAATATATATTTAATAAGATTTGTGCAGCAAAAAAGTCCTTTTAAGATAAAAATCCTGTGAGATGCTGCTATGTTGAAAGGGTTAAAACACAATTCTGATTATTTTCTACATTTGATTAGTTTCTGTAATATTTATAAAGTACAATTACTTACTGTGTAATGATTTTTAGACCAATATAGGTCACTAGGCTAAACTATTATATATACCTAGCATTACAAATTATTAAACCTGCTTATTGGGTGTTATTGGACTACCTTAGCTTCATGAATTGAAAAAATGTGACGTGTTTTATAAAATTGTGAGATGCCTTTTATTCTTCACATTTTTAATGTAAATATAATTTTTTTTTATTAAAATATACTATTTCTCAAAAACCTTTTTTATTTATTATAACAAACTCTTAATATTTTCATAGAAGTAAAAGTGTCGTGAATTAATATAATAATAATAATAATTTTTATTTACTAAAATACATTAATAAGATGAATACATTTTCTTTTTATTATACATATAAATATAGAGTAATTATTCAATGTTTACTTTAAGATAGCAAATAAAGATGAAAACACCCACAAAAGGAAGGCCTGAGCTTGGGCAATATTTCCATTATTATCTATAAGTTTGAATTATATATTTCATTTTAAATTAATTTAAACAAGTAACATGGGACAGTAATTAATAAAGTAAGTAATACTAAAAATAAAACAAAATCATATTTACAGATATTAGCAAATTTATGGACATTTTTATCATTTTTTTTTTTGAGAGATTTTCAGACTATAACAAGCAATATTTGAATTTAAAAATTGTTTTACTTTGATGATGGGTATTTGTAAAATCCAGCGACTAATTTTATTTTTGAAAAGATTATAGGAATTTATTTTTTTGAATTCAGAAGGAATATCATTATGTTATCATCAATTAATTTCATATCTCAGATTTTCGGTACAGATCTCTATGTTATTTTATCGTAATTTAAGGGTTAAAAGTTATTAAAAAAAAGTTAAATATTAAAACTTCATATCCATTGGTTTAAAATAGTGTGTGCTTCATAATACCAAAAATCAGATGTGTCCAACACATGACTTTCCTATCTAGTTTTTATAGGCTTTTTCCGGTTATTTTGTACAACCTATTGCAGCATCTCTATAAATGTTTAGAGGATAAACTAAATATATACATTGTCCACATACATCTACCTCGAAACATTTTTCTGTAGATATTCATTGAAAACGAAAATACTGAAAAATTTAAATTTAGCACTTTTCCATTACGGTCCATTTTAGAAAAATCATGTATAAACAAAAATTATAGAAATCGATATCGCAAACAACTTTTAGTTCAACAATTTTCATAAAAATCAGAATTTTGCACATTTTGTCAAATTTCTCGGATACGGACCATTTCAGGAAATTTTAACATAAAACAAAAATTATAGATAATAATATTATAAGTAACTTTTATTTGAACAATTTTCTTCTCCAAACATAAATAACAGATATATTCCATAAAATATAAAAACGGCCTCCCATAAAGTACCCCCTAGATGTCCCGACTTTGTCCAAAATCTAATCATTTCACTTCAGGCCGAAATAAACCTTAAGTTTAAAATTTAATGTTTTTTCTTTATCCGTTTTTGAGTTTTCTTCAAAATTCTAAATTTACACATTTTCTCAAATATCTCGAATACGGTCCATTTTAGAGAAATTATATATGGAATAAAAATTTAGAGAATTATATTACAAACAACTTTTATTTAAACAATTTTTATAAAAAAATATTTTTTTACATTTTGTCAAATTTCTCGAATACGGACCATTTTAGGAAAATTTTGTATAGTACAAAAATTATAGATAATAATATTAGAAGTAACTTTTATTTGAACAATTTTCTTCTCCAAACATAAATAACGGATATATTCCATAAAATATAAAAACGGCCTCCCATAAAGTACCCCCCTAGATGTTCCGACTTTGTCCAAAATCTAATCATTTCACGTCAGGCCGAAACAAACCTTAAGTTTAAAATTTAATGTTATTTTCTTTATCCGTTTTTGAGTTTTCTTCAAAATTCGAAATTTACACATTTTCTCAAATATCTCGAATACGGTCCATTTTAGAGAAATTATGTATAGGATTAAAATTATAGAGAATATATTACAAACAACTTTTATTTGAACAATTTTTATAAAAAATCATTATTTTTACATTTTGTCAAATTTCTCGAATACGGACCATTTTAGGAAAATTTTGTATAGGATAAAAAATATTGATAATAATATTATAAGTAACTTTTATTTGAAAAATTTTCTAAGAGATATATTCCATAAAATATAAAAATGACCACCTATAAAGTACCCCCAGATGTTCCGACTCTGCCCAAAATCTAATCAGTTCAGCTTAAGTTTAAAATTTGGTGTTTTCTTTGTATCGGTTCATGAGTTATGGTGGATACTGACACACACACAGACATCATCCCGAAAATAGTCAAAACGGATTCAAGGGACCCCAAAACGTAAAAATCCGTCGAAAACTGGAGGTCGAAAAAATCATGATTCCTATACTTTCCTTATCTGTATACAGATAGGAAAGTAAAAATCTGATGTGTCCAACACATGACTTTCCTATCTAGTTATTACAGGCTCTTTTCAGTTATTTGGTACAACCTTGTAGCACCTCATCTGTTAACTTATTAATATATACATTTTCCACATACATCTTACTTGAAACATTTTTCTATATACATTCATTGCCAACGAAAATACTGAAAAATTTAAATTATATACTTTTCCTCTTTTTTTAGATAAACATTTTTTTTAAAATCAGAATTTTTTGCATTTTGTAAAATTTCTCGAATACGGCCCATTTAAGGAAAATTTTGTATATTACAAAAATTATAGAGAATAATAGTAACTTTTATTTGAACAATTTTCTTCTCCAAACATAAATAACATATATTCCATAAAATATAAAAACGACCTCCTATAAAGTATCCCCCCAGATGTTCCGACTGGTGTTTCTCTTTGTATCAGTTCATGAGTTATCGTGAAAATAGTCAAAACGGATCCAGGGGAGGACCGCAAACGTAAAAATCCGTCAAAAACTCGAGGTCGAAAAAAAATCATGATTCCTATACTTTCCCTATCAGTATACACATAAGTAAGTAAAAAGAAAACGCCCATTTTTAAAAACATCCTATTATATAAAAAAAATTACCAGCATTTTTTTCAATTTTTAGTTAAATAAATTCGAATGGTAAAATTTCGAAAACAAAAGTTCAAACCATAAAAATTCGGTTTCAAATGACAAAACTTCGAAAATACAAAAGTTCGGATGACAAAACTTCGAAACTAAAAAAAAGTCGAAAGTGAGAAAAGATCGAAATTCAATAAATTTTTAAAGATTATTTGTGATGTGCACAGAAGTGATGTGACACCCTGTATAACATGTACAACCGTCAGTGGGAAGGGTTGGTATATCTAAGGGGTTGCGACATACGATATATTCTATCTACTATAAGTGAAATTATGAATACGGGATTAAAAGATTAAATTTAAATATTTTATGTTGAACACAATAAAAATATAATTTTTTGTAAACGGCTTATAAATTGGAAAGCTTGGCGAATACTATTTCGAATAAAAAATAAAAACCGCGTCCAAGTTGGAAGGCTATGTCGCATCCCCCTTATATATACGAGCCATTCTCACTGCCATTAGGCATTCCAAACTGAATGGCTACCAGTGGGTTTTGACGGGTTATGATATGGCAAAATTATGGCAACCCTGTAGGCCTGGTGATTTGACAAGGTCAATGAAATAGATAGTTACATAGATTGATCATCCATATTTTTCAAAATAAACATAAGCTTATACCTTGAAGTAAAAACGTAAGCAAATATTTTTTTTAATGTTTAAAGGCTAAAAATTGGTTTTAAAATACATTTTTGCTAAACCGATTCAAATTAATAAATATTTGACAGGCAATATGGCCACTCGTAAACGACCAGCTTTGAGCAATCTATATAACTATATATGTATCATTGACCCTGTTAATGACAACATAACAACAGGGTTGCCATATCTAAACTGTCATTACCCACTGGTAGCCATTTGGACAGGTCGTTGGAATGCCTAATTAGGCATTCCAAACAAATGAATTACCAGTGGGCAGGTTTGGTATATCTAAGGGTGGCGACATATGGTGTATTCTAATCTACTTTACGTAAAATCATGAATAATGGATTACATTTAAATATTTTATGTCAAACACAATAAAAATAATATTTAAAAAACCCACCTATACATTTTTTCATAAATTGGCAGGCTTTGCGAGTACTACTTCGAATAAAAATAGTGTCCAAGTTGCAAGACTATGTCGCTACCCCCCTTAAATATACAAGAATTTCCCACTGTTACCTATTGTTTGACAGGTCGTTGGAATCCCTAATTGGAATCAGGGTATGCGCACTTGGATATACACATTCCATTCACATTCCACTGTTAGTACTATGCACCAATCTCACAGAGGGCGTTACTATAATTCTTCGTTTTTCCTGTAACGTCACTTGTTTTTGACATACCAAAATTTGTTATTTATCGTTTGTCCTTTGTGGGTGACTGGATTTTATTTTTTGTGAATTATATTATTGGAAAATTAAAAGTACATTTATTTTATTAGTTTTTAATCTGTTTTTCGTGTGCTTCTTGGTTTTTTATGTGTGTTTTTTTGGTTTTTTGCTAGTGTTAGAACTTGTATTCGTGCTTTGTTAATTAAGACATTTATTATTTGTTTTTAAATCTGCCTTAACTTTTCAAGTAGATATGTAAATAAAATTCCACATTTAGCATTCATTATAATTGTAACTTTGAATTACAAATACTATTAAAATAAACAAGATAACACAAAAATAGTATTATAATTTAATTAAATAAATTAAAAAATTTGGCTTTAATTATTTAGGGCCGATTCCACCGTTGTGTTAACGAAGTTTAAATTACAAACTAGGATTAAAATTACATTTTTACATTACTATGTCATTTTAATCTTCGTTTAGTAATTTAAGCTTACTTTAACACAACGGTGGAATCGGCCCTTTAGTAAACAAATGAAAATGACATAACCTCAATGTTTGTTTTCTTGACTGAGGACTTTGGTTAATTCTGCTTCTACTCGAAACGTGCGTATTTAAATAAGGCTTGCAGCCAATGATCGTTTTCTAATCTTTATGGTCTTTTATAATGTAAGACGTCTAGCTACATTATGCGTCCCCAAACCATCAGATGGCGCTCAATTCATAGTTTGATGATTTAACATTGAGTTGCCGTTCTATTCTTCTCTTACCTATGATTGGAATATTTGGGGTTATGTTTTTGTTGTTAAAAGTTAGGTTATGAAAACGGAAAAACATCTAAATAAACTCTTTTATAAAGTATACAAATTAAATATACATATAGACATCTAAAGAAACTATTTTATGAAATAATGTGAAGGAATTAAGGTGAGTAAACCAAAAATAAAAAGATATTACAGTAACCTTACGACTTTTTAGGAAATATTACTTTATTTAAAATGTTCCACACAAGGATTTATAAAAGGTATTCTTCATTTAATATACTCACTAGATCATATTCAAGAGGCGTTAAAGATTATTTAAGAAAAAATCCTGAATTGTTAGAAATAAAACAATATATTCCAGATAAATATCTGAAAACTTCTTCAAAAATTGCTAATGAATATCTGTATTTGATTTGTCCTAACGCAGCTCATAAAATTGCTGATCATGTAGTTAGTGCAGCTACAGACAATCAAATTATTGCTGAAACTAATACAGGTTTAGGTCTAATAACTACAGAACTTCTAGAAAAAGGTATAAAGAAAGTACGAATGTATGAATCATGTTCTGAATTTCGAGTAGATTTAAAAGTAAGTAATCACGTTTGATTGTACAATAAAGTAAATTTATACAACAATTAAGTTGCGAAGAATATTAACAAATTTAAATCATGTATATCATAGGATATAATATTATTAGTAGGTTAAAGTTTATAAAAAAAAAATTCAATATAATTAAAGAGAATTACATTTTTAGAACTTTGCAACGGTATACCCTGGTAGAGTGGAATTGTTTATAAAAAATTTGTTTCACTTATCAAGATTTACCTATATGGATAAACAAGATGGGATGAATCGAGTAAGCTCTCTTCTTAAAGGTGTGCCTAGAAAAGCTTGGACTGATGGTAAATAATTTAGTATCTATTTATTACCTAACAACTCAAAACCCATTTTAATTTTTAAAAAGTAATTTTAACACAATTTACTATGTAATTTAATCCAAAGGTGGTCGGAGGATCATCCTAGATTGAATCAGATTATCACAGTCAAAAATTTGTTTCCTTGATGGAAAGATTATACAAAAAAATAGTCATTGGGGTTTCGTTTACCGTTAAAATTGAACAAAAGTGATTTAATAGTTACAAGTTACAATGAGTTACAACAATAAACAAGTTACAACAAAGTACAATAATGGAAACCAATTATATAATAACAAGCACCTAGGTGAGAACACCTGTATGTGCTGACAAAAATTAAAATTTTATTTTAATTACATTCAACAAACTATAAAGGAAATAAAAAAAAACATTTTATTTTTTTTTAAATAAAAAATAAACAATTTATGCAAGAAACAGAAAAAAAACTATTTAAAAAAAATCCATGTATTAAGTCCGTTATTCTTAAAATATTCTGATAAACTTTGCATTATTTTGGAAAATGTATATTTTGCTAACTTTACAGAATTTTTTATATTTGTTTAATAATTTTATATGAAGAGGTAGAGCGTTATAGAACTTTGTCCCTAGATAATTTACACTGTTTTTAAAAAACTCACTATTTGGTTTTGGTACTTTAATGCACATGTTCAATGCAGTTCTAGTGTTATGTCTATGTTCTAAAGGGTTTTTTAAAAATTCATTTTTGTATATACTTAACAACACACTGCGTGAATATATAAACATCTAACATTGATAATGTTTTCATTATATAAAGTTATGGTCTATCTCTTTTATATATTAACTTCAAGGTTTTGTTTTGAATAACATTTAACTGATTTAATGTAGTTCCATACAGGCCTCCCCATACTAAGATTCCATACCGTAGTATAGATTCTACTAGACTGTAGTATGTTATTAGTAGATCCTGGTTGAGAAATTGTTTTAGAAGATAAAATTTATAAATCAGAAATCCTAAGTTTTTTTGCTATATATATTATATGGCAGTCCCATTTTAAGTGTTGGTCTATAATTATACCTAAATATTTGGATGTTTCTGTTTCCTGTATGTCTAAATGTTGACATGTTAAGCTTCTAAATTGAGGTCGATCAGCCACTGTCTTTGAAAAAGCAATGTAGTTTGTTTTGTTAACATTTAAAGACAATTTAAAAACATCCAGCCAGTTTTTGACATGTTCCATTCCAGCTATAGCACGTATGGCTTCCCAATCTTTATCACTGAAGACTAGCACTGTATCATCAGCATATGATACAACTTTACCTTGAATATCAATCTGAGTTAAGCTCTTAATATATAAATTAAATAGTATAGGTCCCAGAACAGTCCCTTGAGGCACTCCGATTTGTATATTTTCAGGGTTACTCACATTGTCTCTGACCTTTACCTTCTGTTGTCTGTGTGTCAAATAATTTTCTTCAACACGATGCCCCTCACTCCATGCATTCTGTTCAAGAACATTTAAGAGCTTCTTATGTGGCACCGTGTCAAATGCTTTTGCTAGATCTAGAAATATAGCTATACACTTTTTACCAGTATTAATTTCATCAGTAACATATGAAATCAATTCATGCATAGCATCTCCTGAGTTAAGACCCTCAGTAAAGCCATATTGGTGCTTGGGAAGTAAGTCATTAGTTTTTAAAAAATCTGTCAGTCTATCTTTCACACATTTCTCAAATATTTTGGCCACATTACTAATTAAACTAATAGGTCTATAGTTAGTTATTAATTTTGGATTACCAGCTTTATAAATAGGTGTTATAATTGAAGTTTTAAATTATTTAGGTACGATTCCTTTATTAAAAATACAATTAATTAAATGCATTAAAGGTTGCAGTAAATACGGATGTAGTAGTTTCAGATGTTTTACTGTTATACAATCAAATCCCGGGGCACTATTGTTTTTTAAACTATGTGTTTTATAATATCGTTTTCGCATATCGGTTTCAGAAACATTGATTTTTCAGTGACACTTAATTTAATACTTCTACATATTTTATTTAGCCTAGATAAATAATTGTGTACATTTGGGAATACTGGGGTTTTATAGTTTTATCCTCAGAGGTTTATCATGTAACAATTTATTGTACCATTGCTAAAAAATGTAGTTTCTCATTTTTTGTCTCCTTTTCCAGGTAGTAATTTAATATTTAAGTCATTGTTAAGTTCTGACAAAATGGTAATACTCGTATGATCGGTAAAACTGGTAGGAATTATATTTGTTACTTTGTTCTATATTACAAATTTTATTATGTTTTCAGATCCAGCTATAACAGTAATAGGCACCATGCCAAATTTGAGATTTTTAAGATATTTAATGGCATCTTTGGCACTTCAATCAGGACCTGTATTATATGGCAGAATGCAGTTATATGCAATAATGAAAAAAACTCATTATCAAGTAAGATTAGAATACAAGATATATTAGAATAAAATAACTTTGAAGTTATGAACAACTAGTAACTAACAATAAAATATTTAATGTTTGCAAGAATAGAATTTGATTATTTCTTGTATCTCTTAGACATTGACTGCAACTCCAAAACAAAATTTGAGACTGTATCGGCATACCACAGTACTTTTTCAACTTTTATTTGATTATGAGACATTGGAAACTTTTCCTAGGAATATATTTTTACCATGGGAAAAGGTTACACAAAAGCCAAATTTACAGGTAAGTACAAAGTCTAATTGGTTGATTAATATTGAATGTAAAATTAGTGATGGTCGCTCAGAAATGTCTAGATATGTCTGAAAAATGGACATATCCAAACACTCCAAACTTTTCAATAGTGTTGTAAGCATTAACGAATGTAAATGGTTTAGAATAGAAGAAACAACTAATGATTGACTTTTATGTTATAACTGTTTTCTGATTAGTATTTAGCTTTTTTATTTATTTACTATATAGTTCTAAAAAATATAACACATTTAACGTTTTCATACATAGCTCTACAAATAAAAAACATTTTTTATTAACTAATATTTAGGATACCAATTTTTAAATAATTAGAACATAAACAAGTCAACAGCATAGGAAAACAAATAGATAAACTAAATATGGACTTGATAAAAGTTGTTATACAACAGATAAAAACAAAAAAAAACTTTTCTGGAACCAACAAAATCATAGGCGCCGAATCCCCGGGGCTCCGGGTGCGCAAGCACCCAGAGCAGTTTTGAACAGGGTGCGGGAGCACAACGAGGACAAAAAGTGTCAATAAGTGAAATGAAGAAGCTGTCGTGGCCCAAGTTAGTATAGCGTCAGATGTCTCAATAAAATATTATCGTTCGGAGCTATATTTTTTGTGATAAAAAAGTCGCCGTAACTTGTCATAGACAACGCGTTGAACTTAAGGGTTTTTTATTTTTGGTGTATAAAACCCTATGACGTCAAAAAAGAAAGATTATTAACGGTCTACAATTATCAAGATAAGATCTTTGTACATATGCCATTGAGCAAATGCTTTAAGGGGAAAGGGAGGACATTTAAAAGTTGCTCCTGATCAAGCAACGTTAGAAAAAAACGTTCATGAGTTAGAAACAGCTGGCGAGAAACCAGGTCATCTACTAAAAAACGCTTGGACCAGTTAATTTTGTTTTTTACGGGAGAACATTGTTTTGGCAGTTGCACTCCCTAAGTGGAAACCCTCTATCGGGGGTGAGACTCACCAGTTATATCTTAAATGGAAAGATTAGTCGAATGATATGTTATTTTGAAGGTATTTTTACCTAGATAATAACCCCCGAGTTTTACATCGCTACTATCTATGTAGCCCATACAGTGGCTCACCAAAAGTACAAAACCGGTTTAACATAATTTTTACATTGTTATTAAAAAAAAGGAATTCTTTATAACAAGTTTACTTTTATTCCTGTGGCTCTCAATTATTCTTATCAGATGACATTCTTTGGTCGCCGTAAAGTAGTAAGGTTTAGTTTATTTCGTTGTAGAGTCGGCATAAAAGTGGCATATCAGTGATAATGGTTTACTCTATTGCTAAGAGGGTGCAAATAATTTCACTTTTTTGCGAATAATAAATGTGCTAATAGAACTGCCTAACTGTTTAACAATCAACATCAAAATCGACAAGTCCATCGAAATTACATTTTGGAATTAGTCCTAACATTTTGGAAAACAGGGTCAGTAGCTAACAAATAACGTGAAATGGAAAATTCTGTAGTAAATGAAGATACCGAGGCGGCGATTTTAGGACATGTTGAGTACATATTGAGTACAAGACAGTTGGCGATAACATCTGGTATTAAGAGACGTAGTATTCAGAAGATATTGAAAGTTTTATTCCTACAAAATACATCTGGTAAAAGAACTTAATCGAGACGAGTTTGATAGGCGATTACAATTTTGTGAAATTATGACTGAACGGATATTAAATGATCAGCAATTTCTTTTCAATGTGTGTTACTCAGACAATGCACTTTTTTCCTAAATGGTACGGTAAATCGTCACAACTGTCGTTATTGGTCCGATTCAAATCCCAGAATATTTCATGAAGTACATACGCAACATCCGGAAAAACTGAATGTTTGGGCTATCATTTTTGGTAACCGTATAATGGGCCCCTTTTTTACCAGAAACTTTAGCCGCAGAAATGTATCTGGAATTATTAGAAAACGCTATTTATCCAGATTACTAGAGTTGATTGAAAATGACGATCAGCCAACATCACTGGAAAATCTGCGACAACGACGGATAATTGATGAATGTCATCAAATAACCCCATAGATGCTTCAAAATGTCCGATAGCATTTTGAACAAAACCTCTATTATTGCATGGAGGCCCAGAATCAGCATTTCTAGCATTTACTCGATTAACTGGTAGGCTTTTACAGAAAATAAAAATCGTTAAAAGATAATGGCTAGGAAGACAGTGGCGATTTAAAATTTGGGGGGTTATAATCTATTTAAAAATACTTTCAAAATACCAGTGGTGGCTGCACCGAGCATATAGTGTTGCCAGGTATCCCGTTTTAGGTAGGTGGGAGCCTTCAGTCTATCCAGCAATTGCCATTTGACAATACCTTTTTTTTTTTTTTTTTGAAGAAAATTTTTATAAATCAACTTTAAAATAGCTTTTTAAAAAACCGTTGGTGCCTTTAAGTGAGTTGTGGAGGGTGGGGGGGATAGCCCCCATTTTCCGCATAGACACCGGGCACCCAAAGCGATTTTTGAATTCCGGCGCCTATGAACAAAATATGAAGACCCCTGATTGGCTTGCATAGGACAGGCCTGATTATCGTACACTTTTATTTCAAGTTTTTTCGAAGTTTACTATAATATGTCCATTGAAAATCACTTTTCAGGAAAAGACTCATCACTATGTTAAATTAAATAAATTTGAACTAGGTCTTTGTTATAGAATTGTAAATTTAAAAGCAAAAAATATGAAAATCGTAATCTGTGCGAAATTGTTCTTTTTTATTTGGACACTCAGTACTTGCGAATTATTTAAGTATACAGATTTTACTCTTAAAATAGCATACATCATTGAATGTCCCAAATCAACCTTCCGAGAAAAACAATAAAAACCTATGGCTATCTTACTTTAAAATGTCAAATTTTCGAACTCACCGATTCAATTATGATTAGATTTAAAAATATCAAACAAAAATAATTTCAAACTATGTGACATTTTTTGTGACATTATGTAGATTGAATTTCCATAGTCATATGTATAATATAGTAGGGTTTCAATTTGTGAATAATTATATAATATCAAATATATTTAATCTTTTACTACAGAAAATCTACTGATTTTTTAAGAACATCGAAACTCTTTGTATACCGTAATCGTTAAAAATTTCAACATTTTTAGGATGAAGAAACGGTTTTAATAAAAATTAATTTCAAGAAGAACTTAGGCATTCCTACAGGACAAATATTGTCGTTGTTTCATTTTGTTAAGCAGTTTTTCCGTACCGGAAATAATATAGTTATACCAACAATGGAGTAAGTAATATTATATCTCACACAATTTAAATTTAGTAATACTTATGTATTTTGCTATAGAAAATGGGTACCCGATTGTGGATTAAATATTTTAATGCCAAAATTGGAACATGATTTTGACTATTTTTCTGATATCAACATTTTTACCAAGTTTCGAGAATTAGAACCTCCACAAATTTTAGCTCTATTTAGGTAAGTTTGCTTGAATTCATATAAACGTTGAATAACAATAACTTGCTTTAAATGTCATATATTGTATCATTGAAATAAAAAAGTTGTTACAAACAATTTTAAAAAATTACTCATATTTTTCCGATATTCTCTGCTTTTGTTCACAAATTGCAATTACAATTTTTGTATAATTTTTTAATTGTAACTGAAACCTGGAGCAGATAAATAAATACTTCTTGGCAAATGTCTTGTTGAAAAAAGGGATTTTTCACTTGTAGTTTTGTTTTAGGGAAATGATTAATACACCAACATATGCTGGTAGCCCTTTTACAGCCATGGTTGAAAATGAATTAATAAAAACTGAAACCACAGAAACAGGTATAACTGAAGCTGTTTTACAAAAGGCTTTGACAAAGGATGCAGAAACTCTCAACTATCAAGATGACTTTGACTAAAGCCCAAATAGAATTGAATGTGGTTATCATTTTTGAAAAGATACTGCCAAGGTATTAATGATGAAAAAAGATAATTTCAGTTTTTTATTGATTTAAGGTGGAGTTTATAAGTATTTGAAAACAATCTTTTGAGTTAAATGACTAAAGAAGAAACATTTTATATGAATAAAAAGCTCAACAAGTTCTGTTTTAATAATTTATTTTATTATATTTGTAAAATAAAAGAATCTTATTATCTAATATTTACTTTTTATTTAAATTCTATCTAATTTTGATAGTACTTTCATCAAAATACTTATTATACTTTTTCCATCCATATCGTTTTTTGGGATCTTTCTTACTATTTGCTGGAGTTAGATTTGGCATTAAACCTAAAACAGAGCATAATTTTCTAAAATAACACATTTTATTTGCAGTGATAAGGTAAATAAAAAAGTGGCAAAAAATATGTATCAATTCTTGCATATATACCATCAGCTCTTCTCAAAAAATGAATAGTTTACATTGGGAAAATTGGTATTGCTGAAAGTTTAAAAGGGAGATTAAAAATTGCCAATCTGATAAGTTTTATACAGTGATGACGTAAATCAAGTGCCAATCAACTCTAGTTTTTTTAACAAATATCAGGAAGTAAATGGAAAAAAATTTGAACACCTGTAATAATTTCTAGTTCATTATTGTTATAATTTATTAATTTTGATGATGTAATAGAATACTTTCTTTTTTATTTTATTCAAAATTGTTGTGTAACAAAAGAGCAGCATGACCCCTCTTGCTATTTAAAAAAATGGAGGAGCCACTGTTATGTAGAGGGGATGAAAGAGAGGCAGATTAAAATAATAAACAAAGGGTGTTTTAAATAACAGTTTACTGGGAATAAGGAAATATCAGGACTGTATTTTATATTTTATTTCAAAGTGAGTATATAAAAAAGCTCTGGCAATACTGATTTAAAGGTTTGAAATGAAACATGTTCTACAAAGAGGAATAAATGATTAATCTTAGTGGAGGTTTGTAAGGACTATAAGGCAACAAAAAAATATTACATGTCCGTTTTTAACTTGTGATTCGGTTATTTTAACCAATTTGTCTAAACAACAATTTATTAAAAGTGAGTAAATGATCAAATCCCTTTACCTGTGTCTACTAGACATAATGACCGAATATTTAGGTACAGAAGATGGCACTCAAGTGCTTTGATAAGTTTTGACCAATTTTATATACCTTAAGTGCCTTTCAAAAGTAGCCCTCCGTGGACTAGGCCACAAGCCTCCACTGATAAATCTAGTATATTAATTAATTAGGTAAATTACTAGTGCTGAAAGGACACATGACTTCAATTATTACCTGATTTTTGAGCCATCGCTACAAGTGTTGATATTCGTTTCTGTGATCTCCTACATAAACCTGTAGTTCGTCTTGGTAGCATACACCCGTCTGTTCTAACAAACTGACTCAATATTAAAACATCTGTGTGTTTAATGTCAAGACCAGAAGCACAAACTGGGCATACTGTAGGATGTGGATTTTTTAACAAGTATGGTTCTCTTCCTGAGTTAACAATGTGTCCAGATATTATTAGTTCATTCTTGTTTTGAGTTTCATTAACTTAAAAAAAGTAAACTATCAATTTAAATTACTAATAAGGAACAGTTAAACTTACTTTCTTTCAATCTTAAAGGACTAAACAGAGATATACTTTTGTTCTGAAAATTGATATTAAGTCTTAAATTCCTTATTTGTTTGAATATTGTATTCATTTTTAATGTTTTAAAATTTATAGTGCTTAGAAGTTAGCACGAAGTTAGGTTAGATGTTAACCGAATAACTTGCTTTAATTTAGTCCACGGCCTCGTACCTCGAAGGTTAACAGACCAGCCTATTACAGGGTGTTTATCGAAAATTATTTTAAATAAGAAGTAATGTTGCCAGATGTACAATAATTATCGTTTTATACGATAATTTTGTTTAATGAAATAAAAGTCCGAATTAACTAATTTCGAATGACAAAATTTCGAAAACTAATAGTTGAAACTATAAAATTCGAATGACAAAATTTCGAAAATACAAAAATTCAAATGAAAAAAGTTTGAAATTGAAGCAAACCCGCAAGGGCTTCAGGCCGTGCAAGTTAGATAAATTAATTTCGATTTTTTTTTAATAAGAATATACTAGGAAAATATTTCTATTTTCTTGAATATATTTTACATTTAAATTTAACCAACTGAGTTCATGTGTGTGTGGGGCATTACTGATAATACTATCAGGTACTTTACCGTCTTAATTCATGCACGTTTTAGTGTTAAGATTGTTATTTTTAAACTATCAAGCAATGAAATTCTTATGTAACTATATTCTCATTTTTTTTTAAATTGAAATACGTAGATAGAGCTCGATTTTTTGTGAAGAGCACGTTTCGTCATAGCTATGCCACAGTTCGCGCAGTACGTCATAACTTTGTGGAGCTTTAGTTGATGGCGCTGGGCTGAAATCTGCTGCGGTAGGGGTACCTGATATCAAGGCGTGACGTGTGTACATTAATAAAATATATTAAAAATCGAACATATTAATAAAGTTAATGTTAAATCTTAACTATATGCGTTAGTTAAATTGCTGATGAACTTTAAATTAATAAAACAACTAAAAGTTTAAATAAATAATATATTTTAATTTAATTTGTATAATTTTAAACATTTTCATCATCTTCCAAGTCGGAAATATCGGATTCCCACTCATCGGATGACCCCGTGTTTACACTAAATATGAGGGAATCTGTAAATTCATCCATAAGGTGTTCTCCAGGGGATACTCTTTGCATCCTTCCTCCATGGTGTTCTCTTTGAATATATGCATCCTCATATTTCGCGGAATGGTCCACCACGTTTGCCCAGTCCTCCGGCGTTATGCTTCGGAATTTTTCTCTTGCCAACTTTTCAACATTATCCAACTTGAATGTTGTGTTATGTTGACCCACTCAATTTTTTACTGTGGCCCATATTTTTTCTATGGGATTTAATTCGGGATGATAATATGGAGGTAATCGTAGAACTTTGTGTCCATGTTCTTCGAGAAAATCGTCTAAAAGAAATTTCGGTGGAGGTCTGTGAACTTTTATTAATGTGTACAGTTCTGGTTTGGTCATTTTAGCATCAGGTCGTATATTGTTTTTAACGAGCCAGTTAATTAAATCTGCTTTTTTGGTCTGCGTTGTAATCGATTTTTCAGATTTTACATTATGATAATTTGCATTATCGATTACAGACCTTGGAGGAAGATTTGGTAGTAACTGCCTTCTAATCCATTGAGAAAAATTATTCCAGTTCATTTCATTATGATAATCTCCTGTCTTTTTCCCTGAAAAAAAGTAAAAAAGAATTTATTATCTATAATGCAAGTATATTTTTCATAGTTATTTTTGTATGATACTTAAAACTTACAAAAAACTCTTTTAAATGAAATAATTGCTTAGTTAAGCAAAAATTATTAGGAATTTTAAATCACTTAAAAATAATCTGTTTTTAGAAGAAATATTTCTTCAAGATGATAAGACTTATTATAATAATCCTAAGAAAAAGTTATTACTAAAAACTTTCCCTTGTATAACAATAAAGGATTAAGTACAGGTACAGATCTTTTAACTAAACTGAAGATAATAAAATAAACCACTACATTAAGTACTTAAATTACTTGTTAATTAAATACTTTAACAGTTTAAATTAAATTTAAGCTGATCATAACTTTCGATTGTTAAGCATCATGGATTTTTATGAAGTAGGTAAAGACGCAAATAATAAATAATTTTCTATAAAAAATAGCTTATTACCTGAAGTAAATATCAACAGTCCATTTTCTACAAAACCATCCTTACTCCCTGCATGCAACATTATGAGCATTTTACCCTTGCTCATTGGAGTTTTGAATTTGCCTTTGCCTTCGGTCTATCCTTTCGAATGTGTATGACTACTATGTAAATAGGTCTCATCATAATAATAAATAGTTTTGCCTGCCCTCTTTCCGATAATGTATTAAGGATTTAAAATAATTTGTCCTCTTATTCCTAATGTTGTAGGATTCCAACAGAACAAATCTGTTGTCTTAATTTTTTTTCCACCTGAAAAAATTAACATTGTAATTTTAAACGTACAAAAATTGACTATGAGAAATTAATTATTTTGGTATCATTTCATTTTGATTTTTTAGATAATGTTATCTACACTTAAAACCCATATGTTTAATAATATTTTCCTAAGTGATGAGATGCTGCCCCGGAATTTAAAACAACAATCCTTAATTTTTGTAATATACCTAAAATAATATTTATATTAAATACGTTGCCATTATAATCAAAATAGTAACTTACAATTTAGAGTTAGTAGTCTTTTCAGGCCTTATAGATTCTACAACTGTACTTCTTTTTGTATATCTTTTTTGTGAAAATAAAGTACTAACTCCAATTTCTACTTTACCAGCCATCTTCTTAATTCTAGAATAACTGCTTCTAGAAATCCCTGTAGCAGCTAAAATTCTCTCTCTGTATTTGTGTAATGGTATTTGAATACCGTGTTCAGCCTCGTTTTTCATAAAATTTATGAGGCGTGAAATTATTTCTTTCGTTTGACTTTGAAGAATTTGGCCCTTTTTGTCTAATAATTTTTTCTGCTAAAAATATAGATATTTGTAGGAAATTTGTTTTAAATAATATTAAACTTATTTTTCTATTCATCAAGAGCAAACCGAACCTCTAGCCAAGGAAAATTCGTAGGTTTTATATATTTTATTACTAAGTTCTTAATATTTAAGGTATTTACGTGATATTTTTTTTGTTGCTATATAGTAACTTAAACTGTAGTATGAAATCAACAAAAAAGTATTACCACAACGCAGAAAAAAAAATAAAAAATTTTCAGAGTATGATCACTGTTTTGAGGATTCTGCTTTTATTTTTTATTCGATTAGAATTTTCTTTTAAGAATTCTCTAGAGAAATCTTTCCTTTAAAATTTGTATTGAAAAATATTTTTTTTTTTTTTTATCTAATTGTTTAATTTTATTTTCAGTTTTTTCATCAAGAAATAATAATATGTTCACCGAATTCTTGAAACCGTGATCATACTCAGACTTTTTTTTTATTTTTTTTCTGCTTTGTGGTAATACTTTTTTGTTGATGTCATACTACAGAACTGTAGTTTAAGTTACTATATAGCAACAAAAAAAAATATCACGTACAATACCTTAAATATTAAGAACTTGGTGATAAAATATATAAAATCTACGAATTTTATCTCATTACCGCAGAAATAGCTTTTAAGATAAGAAAAATATGGTTTACAAAAAATCTGGATTTAAAAGGTACTTAAAATATTTCAGGATTATTCGGTTTCTTCTAAGATTAATATTTATAGTGTTGTAAATGTACTTACCAAAATATACACAAAATTAATTAGGAATTCAAAAAATATAACAAATTAAAGTTTATATACACACAAATCGAAGCACAAAAACTCAGGAAACTCAAAAATCGAAGCACAAAACTCAAGAAACTCAAAATAGCTAATTAAATGCAACAAGTACAAAATGAGTAACACTACGCTACTGAATTCAACTTGTATGAGCAGTAGGCGGCTTCGATTACGTTTAAATATGTCTGACCATGCCTACAAACTCAAATTGATTTCTGCACATTATGACGAAGTGTGCTCTTCACAAAAAAATCGAGCTCTACTTAAATCTCACGAATGTATGGAATGTTTTTAATTTATTCAATTAAAATACTTTGTTACAGGCGTTTCTGTTAACACAGTGGGAAAAATTACAAGAAGACCATTGAAAAATAACGATAAAAAATAGGTTTTGCAATAAAGAAACCTATAAGAAAGTCCCCTTTTATGGATCTACCTCTATATGGAATCTGTTACAGGACGGCGATAGTTTTTCTTAAATTATCGCAGCCTGTGTAATGGTGACTTATCGGGTAAAGTTGTATGGACTGTATTTAAATTATGGATCTTATAGAAAATCCTGCTGTTTAACTACATAACGAACAGTTGATTGATAAAAATATTTTTACAAAAAAAAACAACACAAAACATGCCGGTTTAAAAAAATCTTATCTATTTTCAGAAAAGTTTTTTAATTTTTTTATTTTTACTTTTTATTAACCTCTTTGACTTACCCACGCTTTATCAATTTTAAATTTTAATAGTGGTTTTTCATTATTTTATTTATAATCCATAAAAAAATTGGTCCGATAAAAGAACGATAATTTTGACCACCGTATATGATGTTTGGATCTGAATGAACTGGCAACACTGTTTAGATGACATTTAACAAGATACAACAGGAGTGCGTTTAGAAACCCCGCACGGCGCGTCTGGGCCCTATTCTAATGCATGTGATCAGACGCGCCGTGCGGGGTTTCTAAACGCACTCCAGAAAAGAAGATATATATGACATATGACAAGTAAATTAACCTACCCTACACTGTTTTTATTTTGTTGTAAAAAGCAGTAAAGTTAAAAGCAAGTTTCAATAATTTCAATTTACATTTTAGATATTTAACAATGGATTCTGAGGATAATGTTCACCGATTAGAAGGAAGTATTTCGACTAAAGGTGGTTTAACTATCAAAAAAAAAGGCTCGGCTCCTATATTCAAAGTTCCCCAATCTTCTCTATTTGGATTAGATAGACTAGCAGCTCAAAAAAGGAAAGAAAGGGAAACGGCAGCAGCCAATAAAATATCATTTGATATTAATGAAAGTGAGTTCAATGAAGGTGAAGAACAAAATGAAATAGAGACAATAGAGAGATGTAGTATAAAACGAAAATTTAGAGAACCTCGAGAAGAAACTCCAACTTATACTGGTGGTATTAGCAAAGAAGCACGTGAGCGTTTAGTTGAAAGATTAAATTCCTCTAAATCAAAGGGAGTATATGCTTCTACAAAAACTAGTAGACGTACTGAAAACTATGAAAGAAGAAAACATCGAGAACGAAATAAGGCTCGAAATCGGAATCAATCGGAACGAGATGATAGAAGTTCGAGGGAATATTCTGATATGAGTGAAAGAGGAAAGTCTCCTAGATTTAGGGATGAACCAAGAACCCCTAATTTCTATACAAAAGATACTATGTCAAAAACTGCATGGGATGAAGATGATTATGAGCCATCAAGGAAATCTACATGGGATTATCCAACACCATCTCTACACAGATATAAAGGTGGGGATTGGTCAGAAAGAAGTTATACATCTTCCAAATCCCACAGAGATGAAAAAGGTATTTTTTAAGTTAAAATTAATTATTAAAAAAAATAATATATTTTACATCCAATAGTTACCTATATTGAATTGAGTACCTACTTACCTCCCTATGTACCTACCTACTTACCACAAAATTGCCTCAAAAATGTATGTTAATGTTCTTGTCAGTTTTAGAAAGGTATTTCTGATTTAAATTTGTATGTTTCGATTTACAAGATCTCATTTTTAAAATCTATAAAACACATAAATGTCTGTTTCCTTAATTTTTGATCTACAGCATATAATATTCCTACTCAGGTATTCTGGATAGATATAATATTCCTATTCAGGTATTCTGGATAGATGTAATGTAAATATATTTTTAGATTTGTAATGAAACAAATTTAGTTCCTCAGTTTGTTCTGAGAAAAAAAAAATTATAGGGACAGGAACAAAGCAAAATTCAATATGCAACTGTATACCCCATGTTCATATTTCTTTGTCTCAAATCTAACTACTTATTTTTTTTTTATTTCAAAATTTTGTCCACCTTAAAGAATTTTTAGTTTTTTTTTACAGCTTGGTCAGAAAGAAATTATACATCTTCCAAATCCTATAGAGATGAAAAAGGTATTTTTGTTTATGTTAATATTATTTAATTGATTGTTCTTTTGTTTAATTTAATGTAATAATTTGTTTTTGAGAAATCTTCAATAATATTCAGTGTGTATTTTTTTCCATCCGATAGGTATGTTGATGAACAAAAATATCCCCAATATAGAGATTCAAATTCTGTTTAAAGTGTTTCACTCAAATTGTGAAATAATTTGGGATGATGTTGCTTGACAAGAGTAACATTAGTTAAGAATTATAGAGGACCTTTCAGAATAAAGTACCTGAAAATATGGGTTTAGCTAAATGCTAAATATTTATTTTTTTTATTCTTCCAAACAAGCCTAATCACTTAGATACCCTTATTATATAATAATATTTCATTAAATATTATTAACCATTATTTGGCAACGTATTCTATGGGGTACATCAAAAGTATGCTAATATAAATACAATTGTTCAATACCTATATGTATTCTGGGTAGTATACATACATTTAGAAACATATTGGTCCATGAATTTGTCAATAGGCTTGCTGTCAGATGATTTTAATTTAAGTTACAAAGTGACAACTTTCATAGTGATTCAGTATTAATGAACATCTTGAGATATAACAACTTGCAATAAATATTTATTTTATTCAAAATGTTAAGGTATATTAGAATTGAAAATAGAAGATGTGTTTCCAAATAATAATAAGTCGTATTTACACTTATAGATATTATTTTTGTAAAATAATTTCAGCCCGAAAGGACAAAAGGTAAATGTATCTTATAGGATACATTGCCAAGTTCTTAAGCATACCTTATTTTGTTTTATTTTTATAAATGTGAAGTGAATTATTTTACACAAAGACAATAAACTGTCACAAAAAATAATAGTAATATTAAATTTCTTTATTGAATTGTCGTTTCCGGGCAGCATAGTGTCGGCCACTGAATGTTTTCCAATAGGCTTTGCACAACAAAACAATTTGCTCAATGAAATATCCGTTTCAACAATGTGGGGCATTTTGCAATATATGGCAAAAAAGAAAGATGCCTTTTATGTTAAAATGGTCAAACTGCAATTTTTTTCCAAAAATGCAACATCAGACTTTGTTTAGTGAATTCAAAGAATTGCTTCCTAACATTCTATAATAAATGAAACTTCAATATATATAGAAATTAAATATTTAAGTAAAACACAAATTTGTTATATACTTGGCAACCTATCCTATAAGAAACATGTTAGTATTTTTTTTTAAATATCAAGTAAAATTTTTTTGAAGTTGACATCTTATTTTATAACCGTTATTTAGTAGTTTTTCAATAAAAATTATTTTTTGTAATAACTATTTCTGTTACTGCCAACTTAAGGGTAAAAAAGAGAGACCTAAAACCAAAATCAAGAAAAGTAAATAAAAAAAAGAGAAGCACAAAAAACTACAAGAGGTATTCAAAATTTATGTAAGTTCATCGTGGAGAATCTATTTTATAATTGATTATTTTATATGTACAGTAACATTACACTTCATTCTGGTGTAGTCAAAGAAGGCAGCAGAGTCCCTAGGTAATTTTAAGTTGAAACCTATGCCATATTTTTAGATTATTTTAAGGCTATGTTTATACCCTATTCAAAAATTTAATGCTCCTCGTTTGCTTAAAAAATCAAGGTGCTCTTCTAGCTTCAAACAAAGTCAGCAGAGCACCTGTTTTTTTTTCAAAACGACACCATATTTTTAGGTTCTTAAAATATAAAACTTTTCGAAAAAAAAAAATTGCTATTTATAAATAATACAGGGTGCTTTGTTGGAACAAAGTCAGCAGAGCACCTCAGTTTTTTAAAGCTTTTTTCTAATAACCACACCGCATTTTTAGTCTATTTTTAGGCTCTTGAAATATTATAAAACTTAAAAAAAATGCTATTTATAAATAATACAGGGTGATTTGTTGGAACAAAGTCAACAGATCACCTCTGCTTTTTAAAGATTTTTTTTAAAAACAACCACACCACATTTTAGGGTATTTTTAGGGTCTTGAAATATAAAACTTTTATAAAAAATTGATATTTTAAATTCGATTATTCCTTAATGGACGTTTGCTTTCTAGACCCAAAATTTTTATGGATTTAGGAGTTACATTTGACCCAGTATTGTCATTTAAATACCACATATATAACATTTCAACAGCAGCAAACCGTATGTATGGATTCATAGTACGAGTAGGCCGTGATTTTAAAAACAGATAATATTAATCATTGTTTTTCTCATTTGTTCGATCTAAACTCAAATATGCCTCGTTTATTTGGGATCCTTATTATCAAATACACATTTGTCGGATAGAGTCCATACAAAGGTGTTTCCTTAAATATTTAAGTTTTCGAGCAGACCAAATTTATCCACCGATTGGTATTACTCAAAATGCTTTACTGACTAGACACAGATTGACAAGTCTCGACGTAAGACGGAAGTACTTCTCCATAATTACTCTCTACAAAGTTGTTAATTGCAAAATAAACTGTGAAGCTCTTTTATATATGCTTAATTTTAGAATCTCCGGTGCAACCTCTCGAAACACCGAATCATTTTACATTGCAACTCCTCGGACAAACGTTCTGAAGTTTTCACCTGTAACATGTGTAATAAATATAATAATATTAGTGAACAGTTGGATATATTTAACTGCAGTGTTAAAAACATAAAAACACATTGTTTAAAATAATTTAGAATTTTTTTAAGTACTGTAATTTTAGTTTGATTATCTATATGCTTTTGTTAAACATGTTTTCTTCCAAATGTACTCCTGTTCTGTAATTGGGTTTAACCTGTTGAACAATGTATAAATAAATAATACAAGGTGATTTGTTGGAACAAAGTCTGCAGAGCAAATCCCTTTATTATTATTTTTTTCTGAAAACAACAACTTATGCAACATTTTTAAGCTCTTGAAATACTATAAAAAATTAGTATTTTTAAAAAAATACAGGGTGCTCAAACGAATCCAGCAGAGCACATCAATATTTTAAAGATTTTTTCTAAAAACAACCACACCACATTTTAGGTTACCTATATTTAAATAATACAACGGTGCTTTTGTTGGAACAAAGTCAGCAGAACAACTCGGTTTATTTATTTATTTATTTTTTTTTTTTAGAAAACCACTACTTATGCCACTTTTTGAAGCTATTTTTATGCTCTTTAAATTATATAAAACTTTTTGAAAAAATAATATTTTGAACGAATCCAACACCAGTTTTTAAAGATTTTTCTAAAAACAACTAAACCACATTTTTAGGCTATTGAAATATTATAAATTTTTACTAAAAATTGCTATTTTTTAATATTACAGGGTGCTATGTTGAAACGAAGTCAGCAGAACACCTCGGTTTATTTATTTATTTATTTTTTTTTTCTAAAAAAAAAAACAAACTAATGCCACATTTTTAGGATCTATAAAACTTTTCTGCTGGATTCATTCAAAACTAGCAAAGCACACTGTAGTTTTTAAAAAAATACTCATTTCTTGAAAAGTTTTATAATATTTAAAGAGCCTAAAAATAGCTTTAAAATGTATAAGCGGTTTTTAAAAAATAATAAACCGATGTCCTCTGCTGACTTTGTTCCAACAAAGCAACCTGTATTTTTTAAAAAATACTCTTTAAGTTTTATAATTTTTCAAGAGCCTAAAAATTGCCTAAAAATGTAGTGTGGTTGTTTTTAGAAAAAGGCTGTAAAAACCGAGGTGCTCTGCTGGATTCGTTCGAAGCTGGCAAAGCGACCTTTATTTATTTATTTATTTCGAATAGTTTTATAATATTTCAAGAGCCTGAAAATAGCCTAATGATGTGGTGTGGTAGATTTTAGAAAAAAAGCTATACAAAGCAGAGGTGCTCTGCAGACTTTCTTCCAACAAAGCACCAAGTAGCAATGTTTGTAGTAAAGTTTTTATAATATTTCAAGAGCCTAACAATAGCCTAAAAATTCTGTGTGGTGATTTTTGGAAAAAAGCTTTAAAAAACCGAGGTGCTCTGCTGGCTTCGTTCGAAGCTAACAAAGCACACCCTGTATAATATTTTAAAAGCCTAAAAATATGGTGTCTTTGTTTTTGAAAATAAGCAGAGCCCTTGATTTTTGGGTAAAAAATAGCCTTAAAGTATGCATAGGGTCAACTCAAAATTGCCTAGGTGCTCTGCTGCCTTCTTTGACATTCTACAAGGTGATAAAGTGAATTTCTTAAATACCTGATTTTCTAAATATCTTTTTAAAGGTAGACATTAATTTAAAAATATGTACATATTAATCACGGACTTCAAAAAAGTTTTTTTTTTATGTTTAGCTTCTAATTCTTTAACACAATGTCCGATTTCAATTATTATATTTTTGTTAGAAAGGGGATACTTCAGTGGTGGTCCCATATACATTTGTTTAAAATCTAATAAACGGGCCCGTGTGAAAATCCTTAAACTCTTCATTTTTATGTATATTTAGCGATAATTCTTTAACACAGTGTCCGATTTCAATGTTTCTTTTTTTGTTAGAAAGGGAGTTCTTCACGCATATACATTTGATCAAAATCTAATAAATGGGTCCATGAGAAAATCCTCATATTCTTAATTTTTTATGTATGTTTATCGATAATTCTTTACCACCTTGTCCAGATTTCCATGATTTTTGTTTTTTAGTAGGGGGCACCTAGGAGTGGTCCCATATAAGTTTGGTCAAGATGTAGTGATGGCATCTGCACGATTTTGAAGTCGGTTTTTTAAAATTACTTTTAATACTTTATTCTGAATTATTATTAATTAATGACGGCTTTATGTATGTATTTACTATATTGTAGGTTTTAACTTGCAGAGTATGTACTATAAATATTCTATGGTTGCAAAAAAAAAACACTTTTAATAAAACCTTACATTATGTAGTAAGTTTTGTTTTATTAAATAAAAATTTGCATTTTTGCAATTTCATATAGGTATAGGTACATACATAGCTTTCATGGTAGTTGAGCTAAAAATGAAAAATTTCGAAAATTTAATATTTCACAGAGATTAAATGAGAGTATCGTTTTTGTGACTAATTGCCTGAGGAATAATTATGAACCTTAACTTTTATTAAATGCAGGGTGTTAAAAAAGTTGGCATAAACATTTTTTTCTTAGCCCCTGATTCTATGCCAATAGGTTATCATAATTTATCGAAATAACGTATAAACTACAAATGATGATTTACCAACTTGTCCGAAGGGAAAATTTAGAAAATTATATATCTATGAAATTCACCTATCACATAGAATGGAAATTGGAACGTATATATGAAAATTATATTTAACTTTTCTTAATAATCAATTAAGACATGTCCCTCAGTTTAATTTACTTTATTGTGAAACATCCTGTACATTGCAAGGGTAAAGAAAGAGCCTTATTATATGTAGAGCGTTTTCAAATAATTGTCTTACATTTATCATGACCTAAATAGGTTTGTTGCCTGGTGTAAAAATTTATCAGAAATTCTACATTTTCAAGATCCCATAATCCTACTCTTAACTGTAACAGTATTGACAATATTGAGATAGTTCGTCAGTTATTTAACTGGCCTCATTAATAGGCATACTAGGTACAAACGGCACAAGAGCAATTATAACATTTTACAATGGTCTGGTAAGAAGTGTCCTGGACTACTATTCTGTTATTTAGCAACCTACCTACATCGTCATATCGACAGAATTGAAAGAGTGCAATAAAAATTCGTATAAAATCCTGCTCTTTAAGCACCACCATAACCTGTGTTATCAAAGAAGGTTATTGGTCGTTTACATGCAGAGTCTGAACAGGCTTTAATACTATTATTAGAAAAATTAATAGATGTTTCTATCAACAACTAGTCACTACTTGAAAGAGTTCAATAAGTTATAACAGACAAATTTTGTAATAGTTCATAGGAAACTTTACTGTTTACAAAGTAAAAATTTTTATTCAAATATGTATAAAACAGGTTATTATTTTTACTAATGTCATATAATCATGAGAAATCCTTAATTAAATAGTATTTCAAACTGAAAATATTTTTATAGGTCACAAATTTGAAGATGATACTCCTAGACCAACTCCTGCACATAAATTCAATGCATGGGTTAAAGACAGGAAAAAAACAGGTGCCACTCCAAGCACCAATGAGAAACTAAAATGGGATAATACAGTTGACAGAGAAAATTGGGAAGATGAGCAAAGAAGATTGGATAGGGAGTGGTATAACATGGATGAAGGGTATGATAATGAAAACAACCCATTTGCCAATGTGAGTGAGGAATACACAAAGAAAAAAGAGGAACAGCTAGAACAACGAAAGAAAAAACGACTTTCTGCTCAACAAAGACAAATTAATAAAGACAATGAACTTTGGGAAAGGAACAGAATGTTAACTTCAGGTTTGTTACTGTAAAACTACCAGTAGTTAGTAGTTGAACTATTTCTGAGTAGTAGTTTAAGTAATTAAACTACTTTTTTAAGTAGTTGGTATAGTTTTTTGAATTTAGTTGTTTATTAGTTCTCTCATTTTTTTGGCCTAGTCCTTCTGAATCTGAAGATTTTGTACAGCGCCACCTAGTAGATTTATTCCGAAATGAAATTCTTCTGCCTTTTTTTTACAATCTAAAATATATCCTTATTTATCCCCATTACCATTAAAACAAGCTGTTTTCTAACAGAACATCTAATCCATAGGCACCTGATGATGTAATAACATTGTTTTTTTTTTTAGGTGTTGTACATTCGGTTGACTATAATGAAGATTTTGATGAAGAGTCAATTGACAGAGTTCATCTCTTAGTACACAACATAGTACCTCCTTTCTTAGATGGCCGAATTGTGTTTACTAAACAACCTGAACCTGTCATTCCTGTTAGAGATCCAACCTCAGATATGGCATTAGTTGCTAGAAAAGGGTCACATCTTGTCAGGGTCTTTAGAGAGCAGAAGGAAAGAAGGAAGGCTCAGAAAAAACACTGGGAGTTAGGAGGTACAAAAATTGGTAATATAATGGGTATCAAGAAAACTGAAGATGAAGAAGATAAAAAGTACAACAAAGAAGATGACAGTACTGATTATAAAGCAGATCATAAGTTTGCTGAACATATGAAAGACACAGGTAAAAGTTTAATTATTATTTGAATGGGTTAGTTTGAGTTTTATTTGTTTATTTAAAAATATAAGCTTAAGAACTACCACTTGCACTACTTTTATTATTTTTTAATGTTATTACTGTTTAAATTGCATGTGCTTGGTGACGTTACATTCAAAACATGCAAAACATATTTTGTAACACTGACAAGCCATATATTGGGAAATATTCGTCGCACAAAACCAGTTTCGCAGCTTTTTTCGGGAATTGCCCAAATTTAAGTATTGAACATAACATATACATCCAAAAACATACAGTGATACTCAAAAACTTTATAGGAAATGGAAATGTTATTGCGAAAAAAATATTCTTATTAAAACTTGGTGTTACTACTACCACTAATTTAATTTTTATTTTTAGGTTCGGCAAGTAGTGACTTTTCTAGAAAGAAAACTATAGGTGAACAAAGAAGATATTTGCCGGCCTTTGCGGTAAGGCAAGAGCTACTCAATATAATCAGAGAAAATTCTGTAGTCATTATTGTTGGAGAAACGGGCAGTGGAAAAACAACTCAGTTGACTCAGTATTTACACGAAGAAGGCTACAGTAAATATGGAATGATTGGTTGTACACAACCTCGTAGAGTAGCGGCAATGTCCGTCGCAAAGAGAGTTAGTGATGAAATGGGTACTCAGTTAGGTAAGTTCAGATACTTATTGCCTTTAAGTATTTATACAGGTACATATAAATCTTTAAAGAAAATGTAAAGTTGGCCCATATTGTGATTTTTCAATTACTCTGTTTAACAGGGTGTGTTCTACAGTTAGTTATGTAAAAAATATTAAAAATATAATTATATTCCAAATAATACTATTCCTTATAAAGTCGGTCAACAAATAAAAATGTATTAAAGTAACTGTAGAAAATCTGCAACCCTACCTAAAGCTTAATAAGAATAACATAATGAAAAAATTGTCTTGCCAAAAGTATTTTGAAACATCCATAAAGTGCTTTCGGTAAGTTGTCAAAAAATATTTATTCCAAACTTACACAAATAATTATAATAATTTTTAAAATATTAAGGAAGAAGCAAAAATATACCTTCTTTCAGTAGAGATTTTAAACTTAAGCTTTAATCCCATCCTAGGGTGAGCTGATTAGATATTTTGGACCATACTTTATAGAGGATCGTTTCTCTACTTTATGGAATATATATGTTATTTACGCTTGGAGAAAAAAATTTTTTTAAATAAATGTTCTTTATAATTTTTGTTGCATGCATAATTTTTCTAAAATAGTCCGTATTCGAGAAATTTGACAAAATGTGCAAAATTTAAATTTTTTAGAAAATTGTGCACATAAAAGTTGTTTATGATATTCTCTATAATTCTTATCCTATACATAATTTCTCTAAAATGGACCGAAAATGAGATATTTTAGAAAAAGAGCAAATTTTATAAGGGGTCGTTTTTCTACTTTATGAAATATATCTCTTATTTAGGCTTGGTGAATAAAAATTTGTACTATACATAATTTCTTAAAATAATCCGTATCGGGAAATTGGAAAAAAAATTGCGATATTCATTCTCTATAAATTTTATTTTGATTTTTTCTAAAATGGACCGCAAAGGAAAAATTTGAGGAAAAGTATAAAATTTTATTTTTTCAGTATTTTGGTTGGCAATGAACATTATATACAAAATTGTTTCGAGTAAGAGGAAATGTGGAAAATGTATGAAAGAAAGAAAGAAACTGTATTTAATAAGTCCTAATACATAGTACTTTTAAAACAGCAAAATAGTACAAATAAATTTAGTTAAAAAAAAGGTTAAAAGTTCATTTTTCAAATAAAATGAAAATACATACATGCTAATTATTCGGACTGGAAATAAATTGCAGCAAATATTTTTTAAATTAAAGTAGAGAGGTACTTGTTTTAATTTCAGGAGGTAAAGAATTAAATTCACTCAATACATATACAAAAATAGATTTTGTTGTTAAAGCTAGGTACTCAGCAGGAAGTTTTTTTATTTTTGGCTTTGTAAATAAAATGCAGTTACATATAAGAAGAAAAACTACTGAAACTTGTCTAAAACTTATTTTTACTCAAAGGACCATGTAATTTTTATCCTCTTACAAAATGTTTTATTTAAACACGAAATATCGTTGAAGTCTCTTATTATTGTCAGCAATACTCTTTTTAGTAACTCTGTCTCCCTTCTTAAACCCCCAGAAGTACCAGGCATATTGCTTGGGAAAAACCGTATTTTAAAATTGTTTTGGATTAGTACCAACTACCTAAGTTTAATAAGTTATATCGGACTATTATCTGTTCTAATAGAATTTTTATTACCCTTGATTGGGACTTATTTTGAAAGATTACGGAAGAATCAGAGCTGTTCCAGTTCAGGTCTTTACTTTATGAGTAGAAATATACAGGATGATACAAAAACAAATGTATTTATTGTAAATAATAAATTCAATGTGTTCGAGACTTTCTCGAACATAATCTTTTTTTACATAAATCTAATTTAAAATTATTAGTATATCATTGATGGTAGTGTTACAAGTATTTAGTTCAAACATTTACAAAGGTAATACAATAAGGTTGTACACCTGAAAAAGCTTGCAATAACTAGACAGGAAAGTCATCAGATTTTTTGGTAGTTCTTTTATTACTAGTGATAAAATCGTAGCCTGGAGTTTTGTTTTGATCTAGATAATTTCAATCATACCTGTTACTTATTTTGTTGTTAAAAGTTCTGGTAATAAGAGATATTTGTAGTAGTATTTCAAGTCCATTTTTATTTTTGTTCATTTTTTTTTTTTTGTGGAATGTGTCAAGCAAGTAACAATTACTTATACTTTGGGCTGATTAACATTTGAAATTGCCAAAACTACGCAAAAAAATTGGTTTTGAACAGTACATATAACAGAATACAGTATAGTGTATCAATACGAGTGTAAGTGACAATGTAGCGTCTTCAAATGGCGCACCACTAGCACGGGGACAGATCGCGCTGCCACCGTGTAGTGTATAAACGTATTTAACATTGCACTAGAGTAGCTCTGATCGCTAAAAGTTTCACGTATAAAATATTCAAACTTGCACACAACTGGGATCCACTGGGATCATGTTAATGCTTTCAGCGCACTTTGGCACTGACAGCTGTTTTAAAAAAATAAATAAATAAATATCGGTTTTTCCTAATCTTTTATATAAAATGGAATAACCTATTGAAATCGTTGAGATTTTAAGAAATAGGAGTAATTGATAATAAATACTAATAAAAATGGAGAAGAGATGACATTGTGCCGAGTTTATGTGTCCAAAAGGAATTTGATTTTATTAATAAAAGCAGCTCTAGTAGCTTCGAAGCTGAAAGCAGTAAGAAACATGAATGGACAAGTGAAGAATCCAGATTTTTTACTAAATTATTATGGTGTGTCCCTGACTCATGTAGGTTCCAATGAAAAAATGTAAATCCAAGACATATGTGGCAGATCTACAAAAAAATAAGAAATTTAACTCATCTCTAACTTGGGTACACTGTGAAAAAAAAATACAAAACGATGCTGGAAAAAACAACATAAAAATAGAAATTTCTGTCTGATGAAATTCGAAAAAGTATAGAATTTAAAGCAGAGTTAGGCAAATTGCATTATCCACAGCTTTTAACCGGAGGTTTTAAGAAGTGGTGATAAAGTTGTTGTAGAAGCTAGTAAAGCCAAAAAAAAAACAATTCTTCTAAAAATTCACAAAGAAAAGGAAGAAAACAAAGAAAGAAGTCACCGAGAGAAACTGGATTTTCTAAAAGATTTCACAAAAATTACTAGAAAAATAGTTCTGTTTTCTTATGAAAGATATTTATATGAAATGTTATGTTCCTTTTCCTATTTAGAATATTTTATTTATTTCTGTTCTGACTAGTTCTGACTGAAATAAACAAATATTATACCGAATAATGTTTTAATACATATTAATAAAAATGTATTCTTAATTTAAACAAAATTTAAATATTTAATTGTTGCCACAACAAGTGTCTTTTCAGTTCCCCCCCTCTCTGTTCTATCATCTTGTGGATTTCCATTAAATATATCGTTATTTACCAAATTTCTCCTTTCATCTCTCTCCCACAATAAAAAATTACCATATTTTCGTCACTACCGCTGTTACTGGATAGCTCGTTTGAAACAAAATTTAATAATTCCTATATTGTTACGATGCATTATCACATTTAATTACATGTATTGTTTTGACAGATACATATTTTTTTAAGAATATTATAGGTTATAATATTGCAGTGCAATCATAAAACCGTCGAATTTGTCAGTGCAAAAATACAACCCTAGCGCTACACTAATTTATCGTTTGAAGATAAAACCTTGATCAGTGCATGTCAACTGAAGACATAAAAATGTTGCACTAAAACAGTAACTTAAAAGTGCCAGTCCACTTGAAGACAAAAAAATAAGGTCTGGTGCAGTGCGATTTTATTTGAAGACAAATACTCAATTAGTTCTGAAATAGTGGGCACTCAGTACGCCATTTGAAGACGCTATAACAGAATAAAAACCTGAATTGTTCTTTTCTTGTGAGTGCAAAAACTTTTTTTACAATATAAAATTTGATTCATTCCATCACGGTATAATATTAATTGCAATAAAATATACGTTAAACATTAGAATGTCTACTTTTGACCATAAAGAAGACGATGTTTACAAAGCAATAAATACATTAAGAAGTGATATGAAACAAGATAGTAATGACATCAAGAGTGAGGTAAAAAATTGTATAATGGCAAGTGAAACGAGAATATTTTGAAACCTAGAAGAATAACAGAAGCAGAGGAGGTCAAAAGGAATATTATAAGATAGCTAGAATATATAGAAAGAACAACAAAGAAAAACAATATTATTATTTATGGAATAGATTGTGACAATTTCGATCTTGTTAGTATTATTGATAAAGTAAAGAACCTACTAAAAGTTGACTTTAGCATCGATCATACAAACTAGGAAAAGATAATTCAAGTCCAATTAAAATCGAATTTATATCATATCTAAAAAAAAAACAGGAAATCCTAAGAAACTGTAAAAACCTAAAAGGCACAAATATACGTATTACAAACGATTTAACAGAAATACAAAGATAAGAAAATAAAGTATTTTCAACACATCTAAAAATAGCAAATACGTCTGATATATCTTACATAAAGGGTAATAAACTATATGTTAATAATATAGCTTATACGGCTTAATTATTAAGGAAATTCAGAATACTCAACAACCAAGTGGGTCTGGGGACAAGAAAATAGAAAAGGGTAAGGTTAGTGAAGAAAAAAGAATACAAAAATAATTATTAACCAATCAAACGCCAAAGAATAAACCAGAAAAAAAATAATAGGGATCCTCAACCGAATTTAAGGCCAAGATTGGGAAGTAAAAATAATAGATAGCCATACAATCTTCTTCATTATTTTCAATATTATTCATTATTATTTTGTAGGCACATTAAATTAAAAATTATAATACTATTATATCCCAATGAATCAATACATTAGAGATACAATTCACGAACCGTATTATACTATCTAATTTACGAATCTACAAGAAATTAATGCATAGCATATAACAAACAAAACCAATACATTCAAAATATTCCATTAGAATATTTATAGTTTAAATAAAAATTTCGA